CTTGATAAATTCCCAAATCTGTTGGCAAACCTCTTGGCAAATAAATCTCTCGATAAATCTCTTGGCATGGTCATCGACTAATTAATATGCGATGTAAATTTTTAGAACGTCGTCAACTTTAGATTTGTGTTGTCGCTTGATATCTTTTAAGGCAATTGCCATCTCCTTCACTGCCTTGACGAAACCAGTTTTTCTGCTTTTGTATTTGTCAAGGAAATTCAATCCTTCCTCTAAACTAAATATTTTCTCCAAAGGCAAGCAAGCACTAATGAAAAATAAAATAAGAATTTGAAGAGTAATATTGTCATTGCCAGTTAAATTAAATACTAACGAATTGCAAATAGTAAAATGAATTGGAACAAGCGAAAAACGACTCACATTTCATTTGAATTGAAAAACCTAAGCCATACATGGTTCGGGTTTTTAATGGATGTTATAATAGCGGGCCACTCACTATATCCCCGTACCTTGGCAAAACAAAAAGTGCCGACATCGGGCATTATTTTTTTTTTCACCAATTGTAGTTTTGTATTATTTATGGTTCGATGATTTGACGGTTTATCCTGATTCTCTCCTTTAATTTTTTCACTGTTACTTGGAGTTTTTATTATATTAATTTGTAATTTTTCAGCGCAGAATTTTTTTATTTTATATTTGCTTAGAACTTCAGTCTGTTTTTCAGTGACGATTACAATATCCGTGACAACAACGCGTTTTTCCATTTTCGAATTTTTGATTGTGTTGCTGTTTTGAAATAAGTACGGTATTATTGTGAATTTACAGAAATAATGCAATTTAGATATGGAGTGAAACTTTAAATGAACAGTTGAAGTGTCGCCGATAAATTTGTATTGACTGCCATGAACAGAATGTCACATAAATATATTCTTAAGCACATCATCCGATTCTTAGGTTTTTTTATTGGTGAAAAACGCATAGCATTACAGCCGTGACAAAGCATACAACGCATATTATCATCCGATTTTTTCCGCAATAAAATGAACCAATCACAGCTCACTTTAGATAATTGCATATTACAGCAATGCCACGTGGCGCATTTTAAAAGGCAACCATTGGTCACGACACCGACGCAACGAATATAGCAACTTAGCAAGTTACAATAAATGTAAGTGTAGTTGTAAATGTTCTTACGAGGATTGAGAAACTGAAGCATAATGCTATTGCGTCGTTCTTGTGATGTGACATTGTTTAAAAAACAGCGAGAGAATTTAAACGTGACGATGGAGAAGCGTGTTTTAAGAGAAGGTAATAAAGTATAGGCCAGCCAAGAGAATTTTACAGTATAATTTTTTCTTCTATTAAATACTATTTCACAGGTTTCAAGCGAAAGTATGAATATAATTCGGAAAATGATTCGGGAAATGATTATGAGAATAGTGAAGATGAATATCAGCCGCCCATAAATATTGAATCTGACTCTGAAACCGATTCTACGCAAAAAATACACATTGCGAAAAAACGAAAAAAAGGAGAAGTGTCCCGAAATTCAGATGAAGATTCATCTAAAAATCCACTTCAAATAGAATCCGAACAAGCAGCTCAAACACCAATTCAAAGTTTGAAAGAACAAACAGAACTCCAAATCTTAAGTGAACTCCAAATACAACCCGAAAATTCGAATCATATACCGCTCCAAACACAATCTGAAACTTCATCTCAAACTGCAGCAAATTCAGGTAAAATGTTCATAAATATAATATGCAATTTAATATAATTTCACAAAATTAAAACACAAAAAAATGTAGTATATAGCGTAGTAAAGTAAATAGGTCCGAGAGAAATGCCAAGAGATATGCCGAGAGAAATCTCTGCGCACACTTTTTACTCAATTTACTTTAAACTACAAACTAAACTAATGTAATGAGATTGTTATCGTACTGCCAATAGATTCGATAATCGAGTAGATGTGTATAATTTAATTTATAAAATTCATTTTAATTTATAGATAACAGCAATGCGGATATAACAACGCAAACAACGAACAACAACGTAAACAATATACGTTTGCCAGTGGCAATGCCAAATCCGCAAAAAAAGCTGTCAAAAGAATATGTGAAAGAAATGCTAGACGAAAATGTATATTCCACAAAAGACGTCCCCAAAAGAAAATCCAAATATAAATCATCGGTTTGGAACAGCATCAAGCAAGTTCTAGACGAAAATGGGAATAATTTAGAAACATTTTACTGTTGCTTGCGGTGTAGAAACATTATTGTCAACGCAACAAATTCGACAACACCGTTTCATCGACACGTTTGTAATGGACTGGGATCGAAAGATCATAATCAAACGATTATGACACAGTTTGCTTCATCGTCATCGACGGTCAAAAAAACGATTCAAATCTCTCCAAAAGATCACCGAAATCTGAGAAATGGAATTATTAAATTTATTTGTTCTGACCTTCGGCCATTTTCTGCAGTTGAAGGAAGAGGTTTTCTTGCGGCAATGCATGCCGCTATCAAAATTGGTCAAGCATACCCCAGCTTAGAGCATTTGGATTTTGAAAAAATTTTACCCGGCCGATCAACGATTCAAAGAGAAATCGAAAGCCATGTAGATTTAGCTAGAGAAGAGATAAAAAAAAGACTCAAACATGCATATCAATCTTTTGGTGGATTTGCTTGTACAAGCGATCTTTGGAGTGATAACTATCGCCAGAAATCATATTTGGCTGTGACTGCGCATGTACCTGAATTAAACGAAGGTGGTATAAAGTACACACGCTTCACTATCAGTGTAGAAGAAGTTGAAG